GGCCCGTAGGGACCCGGCTCAGCCTCCCGAGGCCGCCGGGCCTGGGGGTCGGGACGGCGAGGTGTGGGGCAGGAGAGGGGGTCCCCGGGACTCTGGACTCCACGTTTCCTCTTTTGGGGCGCTTCCTTCCTGGGGACTGTCCTCCCGGGGCCCTCGGCTCAGGACGGAGCCCCCGGACCCCGGAGCAAAAGGCGGGGGGGGGGGGCTCCTAGTTCTATTTCATGCCTTCTTCATGGGGGTTTGCGCAGAAGGACCCCGGAGCAGCCCGAGAGCACGGGCTACTCCTTCTGAGTCAGTGTGACTTGGCCCGGAGGCGGGGGATCCTCTGCGGGCTGCACATGGGGCGAGTGCTGCCCCGTGGACCTGCACGGCCACCAGGTCTCCATCCCCTGGTGTCTCTGGGCTGAATTTCGGGAGGAAACCCACCAACCCTATTCATGCCGCGCATTGGAACGTGTGCTGCCGGAGACAGTCGAGATGCCTGTGCTTCGGTCCCTCCCCCTCCCCTCGCGGCCCCCCTTTGCGAACTACTCTCTGAAAAATGTTTGTCAAGAAAAATAAGCAGCCGCGGTCGAGTGGTTGGAACGCTCTGAGGAAAGATTTCAGCGAGAGAGGAGAGCGCAGCGCGGGTGGTTTTCATCGGTGACGCTCGCCATCCAGGATGGGAAGCCATAGGAGTTGCAGCTTGGTGAGGGGTTATTCCAGGCCGGCTTCGGAGGCCGTGGAAGCACTATTTGCAGCGGAGCTGCATGAAGTGCACGCGAGGTCTCTGGGTCCCGTGGGCTCTCGGGAAAGAGTGGAGAAGACACGAGGGAAATTAGCCTTAGTCTCTCTGGCTTTCTTGTCCCCTTTTCACTTCGTGCTCCTGCACTTGTCGCCTTCCCTTGCTGTCTACTTCTCTCCCTGCCGCTGACTAAATGCTTACTTGTGTGTCATGCAAGTCATTTGCCCCCTCCCCCGCCCCCCACCTTTTTTCTGATCTACTTCCCTTTCTTCCTTGTAGTCTCCTCGCTGGCATAATTTGTCGGGTTTTCTGCTCCTTGCGCAGTTCGTGTTCTCCCTCATTTAATGACTCCGTGTTCTCTCCGGGGAAGGTAGCCTCTTTTCCTGCTTTAAAAGCCTTTACTTTCAAGCGGGCACTGTGTTCCTTCAGGCAGCCAGAAGGGTTGCTAGAGAGCCATGCGAGCCTTCCGTTCTCCCCCTGGGAACGGAGAGGCTCAAAGGATTGAATTCATCCCTAAGTAATCAATACTGCACTAGGTCACGAGCGTAGCTTGCTTGTTTCGTTTGTGTTTTAGTTGTTTTCTTCATCTTAGGATCATGCTTTGTGCCAGCTGATGCTTTTCTTCCTGTGTCACTTTTGCATTAGTAAGGAAGACTGGGTCGATCTGGGGCTGTATGACTTCTCGCTGGCTTTTAGCGGGGGTGGGGGGGTGGTTAAGGTAAAAAAACAATGAAAACCTACCATATACCTATATTTCAATAGAATTAAGATAACATGAAACATTTAAGGGAATAGAATTTATTTAGACCTTTGATCAGTTAGAGCTTGCCCATTGCAATAGTACTATTTTTTTTAACCGGGCTTTAAAAGAATTTTATTTTCATTTTTATATTTAAACTATAGTTGACATACATATTAAATTCGTTTCACATGTACTTTACCAGGCTTTTAAAAATCAGGCATCTTTTCCTACAAATGCTAGAATCAGCCCTCTTTTTTATTGTTGTTGGATTTTTGGAGGGAGAAAGAAAAAACTTTGTCTTGCTGCCCCTTCCCTTGTTCAAAATTTTCTGAATTCCAAAATAAAAAAAAGAAGTTAGTGCTTTTAATCAGCTTTTTTTGATATTAAAAGCAAGCATTTAAATGTTTGAGGCTGTTCACTTCCTCAGCCAGTATATTCAGATGTGAAGGATTATTGGGTTTTAAATACTACTGGTTGATGGTACTTAGAGATTTATCTCAATAATTTCTGTTATCGTGTTGCATGTTGTGCAGCAACATTTCTAATTATTACCTAGAGCAAAAGAATAATAGATTTTGGAGAAAAGCAATAATACAGAATAGAGACCCACCATGTGCTCCTGGGAGAAAGTAATGGTTACTTAATTCAGAACTTTCTGGCACTACTGAATGACCATCGAGAGTCTTTGTTTGGTCAAAGTTGGCTTTTTCCCAGTTGTGCATGATTTTTGTTATCTAAAGATGTTGTAGTGCATTATCTGGAACAGAGTTTAAAATCTGGTTAAGGCACCCTTATAGTGGTACAGCAGTGATTCTTAAAATGTAGCAGGCATAAGAATTACCAGTGAGTCTTATATAAAATTAGGTTCTGGGCCTAAGGCCACTACATTGCAGAACTCCCGAAGGCACCCCCACAGCGAATCAGTCTCTGAATGGGCTGATTTTGATGCAGCTGGTCTAAGGACCAAAACTGTTGTTACAGAGTACAGTCATAGAATAATGAGACAAGTGTGGCTTTAAGTTACTCAACTAAAATGTATACTTTCCTGTGTATATAGAGTAGATATTTAAAAGCCTAATAGAATATGTGACTATAGATGTGATTAGTTTTTATGTGTGTAAATGTTTGAGCTTTGTTAGGACTATGATGTGGAGCAATTTAATTTTAAAGTTTATACTTAATAGGACTGTTAACTTGCCTATTAGACCGTCTGTATGTAGATAGAAGTTCTAGATCAGGGGTCCTCAAACTACGGCCCGCGGGCCACATGCAAATACAAATATTGTATTTGTTCCCGTTTTGTTTTTTTACTTCAAAATAAGATATGTGCAGTGTGCATAGGAATTTGTTCATAGTTTTTTTTAAACTATAGTCTGGCCCTCCAACGGTCTGAGGGACAATGAACTGGCCCCCTGTTTAAAAAGTTTGAGGACCCCTGTGCCAGAGGCTCTGCTAAGGCCTTTACAGGGCGGTCTCTTTTAGTAATCAAAATGGCCTTATGAGGTAGATGCTATTTCCATCTTCCAGCTGAGGACACTTGCCTTCTTAGAATTCATTGCTTGGGATGGGCTGGGGAGGTGTGTGCTGGGAACAGTTGAGACATACTCTCATTAGGCTTCAGTGTTGAGTGTACTCCCAACCCATTTTCTTGGGAAGTGAACAGCAGCATCTACTCTATTGAAATGATTAGACATTGCGTTCACTCTCAGATTTCTTCCTTTTAATAATTAGTGTTGCGTATGTGATAACGTATTTTTCTGTCTTTAAGGGAACACACCCTTTTGAATCCCTTTGGCCTATGTGCTCTTTTCAGTGGATAGCCTGTTAAGCTGACATCTTCAAGTTTTCTCCATGAGATGCTCTTTGGCACAGAAGTATCAGTTGTGCTTGGGTTTCATTTCTATCAAGTTGTATCTGACAAAGCCGTAGTCACTTGAAACATGATTTTCACTTGTTAGTTTGTTTAGGCTTTCTCTAGGAAACCCGTGGTAGATGAGTTGAGTAACAGCAGTAAAACAAGTGTTGAAAAACGGTCTTGGTTTTTATGCTACGGCTGTTCAGTTACACTGAAGTCCTGAATAACAGACATTTATGCCCTGTTACGACATAGTGCCTGGACAGTGACAGTGCTCTGGGTTTCTGTCTCACTTCCATTTTGCAAAAATGAAACTCTGCTTTTTTAGATCTGCCTAAGTATTACTCAGGCTCCCATCATTGATGCATAGTCCTAACAATCAGACCTGGAGACGCTTTCAAATAAGCAATTGGGTCTGTGGAAAACATTGATAGGCCTGTAGCAGAGATTTTGGAGCATTTATAAGCAATTAAATGTAGGTACACACATTGGAAAGTAAGCAAAAGAGGAAAAGCAATTATTAATGCTGGGGAAAACTAAAGGACTGTCCTAGAAAAGAAGTTGCAATACATTATTTAAATCACCAGTGAACAGTATTTCATGTTGTAATACTACTGCTTAAACCGGAATATGTGATATTACTGGGATGGGGCAAGAGGATATTAGCAGGGGTGGAATAGTTAGGGCCTCATCTTTCAGGTGATAGATGATGGCTGGAAAAAACTAAGAAACAGCAACAGAAGCATATTACTTAGAAATATTGTAAGTGAATACAAAGAGAAAGCTAAAAACAAAATTGGGGGTGATTACTTGTGGGTGTTGGGGTAGGGAACTGCTCTTTTTCATAAATTTTAATACTCGGACTTTTACATGGATTAGTTTGATAAGAACTACACTGCAGAGGGTATAAGTAAGGGGTTTTTGAAGACAGGCAAAAATAAATACTCTGAGACTGATCTTTTTACATATATATATTTCATAGACTGCTTTCTTTGCTCTCTTTGGGCCAGTGCCACATAGGATATCCTAGGTCTGGCCTGATAGAGTAAACATGGGTTTGGTTTATTAGTTTACCTGCAGTAGAATGTTTGGCTTTTAGAATTTGACTGGAGGACTTTTTATTACTAGGTAATTTCTTTTCCCCTTGGTGATATTCATTTTTCTCTAATCTTAATATTCCCGCTGGTTTACCGCTTAGTCCATTTGCAGCTATGCTTGATTAATGCCCCACTTGGTAACTTTAGAACAAAAGGATAATAATCACTCGTATCCTTCAAATGAGTTCTCTGCTAGGTAGTAATTATCCAAGAAGAGTGTCACTATAAATAATCTGTCCCCATTCTGCCAGGATTCGGGTTGTTTGCTGCTTTTATTTAGCCCGTATGAAAACAGTGACTGGTGAAATAAGAATGAGGCTTTATTTTCCTTTTGTTCTGCAAAGGTCTAGGTTGTGTCCCATATTCAGGGCTGGAGACTCTACTACAGTAGTGATTGTCTGTGGTGCCCACAGTTCCCCATCACCGGGTACACACCAGAGGGTTATTACAGACTCTACCTGCACAATGCAATTTGCACCAGTACTCTGCTGGCTCTGAGCAAAGCAGTTGTTCTCAGGTAACTGAGAGACGTGTTTGACTTTCTGGCACCATCTCCCTGCACTTTCTTTTCCCAGACACAATTTCTGACAGCTCATTCTATAAAAAGGATTTTTTTCAAATGTAGATTAGAACGTCAGCTTTGCTCCTTAGGCTAGTTAAAAATAATGTGGAGGATGCTTCTGGAATACTAAACCTTGGACATCTGTTTCAAGGGCGATTGGAGACCCCAAAATTTTGCAGGTCTTTAGGGGCCTTATTGCAAGAATAGCAGAGGATCCAGCAGCAAAAGGCTGTTTGTTGGACCTTCTTCTCTGGTGTCTTCTGCTCAGAGTAGTAAACTGAATAAAAAGTAGATCTTGTGTTCACTTTCTCCTGCTCTCCTAGGAGCAGACCAAGGTTTAGTTTCTGAGAAGAGTTAGAAACAGCTCAGGACCAAAACTTGCATTGCTTGCTTTTGACTGTGGATCGAGGACCCAGCATTTTTCAGAAAAGCAGGAAGGTCGGCGGGAAAGGAGGGAGACAGGCCTGTTTAACTGAGGAAAGTAGGGTGCATCCCCAGGGGGAGGCCTTCTCTCAGTGGCTCCGTTTTGTGCCTGGAGAAGAGTGTAAGGAGTGAGGGAGGAAAGGTGGAGACCAAACGGGGCTGCAGCCGGTGTGGTTCCTGCTCACCGTGCACACCCAGCGGGAAGGAAGAGGAAGTGTGTTCTGGAATAGCTCGAGCTGCTGCCACCATTGGCCGGCGGGCCTGTCAGTCGCCTGGGCCTGAGGCTGAAAAGAGGAAGGAGATCTGGGCTCTTGCTTGGAAGGGAGGGAGGAGGGTTGAGCCAGCCTAACCAGGGGGCGTGGGGGCTGGGACAGCAGGCCTATTGGCAGGGCGGGGCTGCCTTCAATCCCGGCCACTTCTCTCAATCATCCGTCTTCTGATTCAGGGTGGCATTGTGTGTCCCGGAGTGCAGGAGCCAGTCCCAGAAGAGAGGCGAGGCTGCGCCCAGAGTGCTGGGTTGCTTCAGCAGGGAAGACTCCCTTCCCCCTGCTTCAGGCTGCTGAGCACTGAGCAGCGCTCAGAATGGAAGCCATCGCCAAATATGATTTCAAAGCCACTGCAGACGACGAGCTGAGCTTCAAAAGGGGGGACATCCTCAAGGTAAGTGTTGCTGCCAAGCAAATACTGAGATGGCCTCTGCTTGTACTCACCTACCTTCTTTTGCCCGGTAACACACAAAGAAGCCGTGCTCCTTCTTTCATTGCCCTCATTTACCATCGTGTGAGATCTGGATAGCTGAGATGGATGCTGAGTAGAATATTAAATATGACTTAAGAGGGTGGTGTGTGTGATGTATGGTCTTTAACTGCCTTTGTGTGAATGCCTCGAGTATTTCTTTTTGCTTGTTGATATTGGTACTATTTCAAGCGAAGTCAAAGCAATACGACTGTAGTGAGGAAGTGGGTTGATTTACCTTGGAGAGTTTTATTAAAAAATTAGGGGATGTTTTGAAAGACCTAAACTTGAAGTATTTATGTAAAAGCACTCCATTAGTCTTATTTTACATAGTCAAAGATGTTTGCATTCTGGAATGTGATCCTGGTCGGTTAGGAATTAATTTCCCCTAGTTTAGAGAGGTAGTTTGAAATACCTGCCAAAACTCATTAAAGAACTCAGTGTGTTTTTATTCTTTTTTGAAAAAAACAAAACAAAAAAAACAATGGAGTTCTAAATAATAAGGTTCAGTTTGCTGTTGTACAAGTCAGATTTCAATATTCTTAGAAGAAACTTGAGGAGCAATTACCCCATTTTAAGCTCTAATTGCACAAAAGAAACCTGCTGACAGTTTAGAAAAAAATAAGCTGCTTTACAGTTTGCAGCTCATTTGGAACCCCACTATTTACATGAGGATTCACTTTCCACCTGGCACATGTTAATTATGTTGTTTACTCAGTTGACTGGAGCAGCTTGCCCTTTTGGATATGTAACTGGGTGTTATCGAATAGTGTCAACTTTAAATGAGGAAAACTTGAACTTTAGTGTGTGCATAT